ATATATAGATGTAAAATATAAAAAATACGATGGCTTTGCTCTGCGCGAACAATTCCCGCAATTTCAGGACCTTTCCCCTAGACCAGTATTTTCGAGAACATTCTGGCAGGTTATGTAACGATTACGCGCCATTTTTTGTCAGACTGCTTCCTACTATCGCTGCTACAAGATTCTCCGTCCATTACTCTTCCCTTTGTTAGAATAGGTATGACGTCAAAATCCTAAAGTTAACCTTATTTTAATTAAAATTATTATTGAATATGTAATTTGAAGAGTTTAATCTAAAGTAAAAATGATCTCCCATTTGAATTGAATAAAGGTGTGGAATCAAAACAGTTAAATTCTTCTGTGTCGTCATTTCTGCTTTATCCCACTCCGCCTAACAACGCACAGACTCGGATGCCAAGTTTCGTCATTGCTGTGCCTATCCGCAAAATCATCACACATATATATATATATGTAAGTTAATCAAAATATGTTCTATTTTGTTTTTGAAACTATTTTGTTCCCGTACTTGGGTTTTGTTTATTAGCTATTATTTTCCTTCATCTAAATCAAAATTAAATTGGAAAACAGCAGTAAACCCGGAAAACATATGTTAGGTCTAGCGAATGCTCTATAGATTCTGAGAATTCTCATCACTGTAAAATTTTTGTTTCATCAGTTTCTGGGTTCCACACCTGTCTAACCCTTTCATTGTCGTGATTTGCTGTTATTTATCCTCTAAGGGAAGTGTGTGTATGCGTGTGTATGTAATTATGGCAAAGCACACTAGGGCTATCTGCCTAAGAGGAGGGATGCCTTTCGTGGAGGACTTTCTAAGAGAAACTGGCTCGTATACACGTTACACATGGGGAAAACCACGAAAACACCCATGCAGCCAGCCCGTTTGCGGGATTCGAACCTCGGACCGAACTACCAGTTTTCAGCGACTTTACCGCTCGGCCGCTGGTGGGCCCCTCTAAGGGAAGAATCTGGATATTTGCGATCCCTAGTGGTCCCACGAGCATCTTTGTGTTAGGAACTAATTGCTTGTGTGCAAGATTAGAATAGCCGGAGTCCAATGAAAAGCTATCATCACAAGCGAATATATATATGTATAAAAACATTAATAATTAATAATAAAAATGTAAATAAATAAAACAAAACAAAAAAAATCTGAGATTTCAGATTTTACATTACGCCCAAAGGGACCTCTTTATAACGTTTTGTGTGGTACCTTTATTTTTTAAATATCATGTTCTTCTCACTTAAACCATAAAATTCAATTCAACAGCAATATAATTTCAAAATGGGCATATCTTCAGAGTTTCCGATACACAGTCTCGCGCGCTGAAGATAATTTTTTTTTTCTTTTTAAGCGTACAGTGTTGCCATTGAGAGCCTTAAAACCGTTGAGTTTTTTAAATGAAAAACTCATAAATGCTTTACAAAATATGAAATAGATAATAAAACAAATTCCACATTTAAGCTTCCAAATCCCCATATTCAGGTCGAGACGTTCGTTATTCAAAATTGGATGGCTCTAGGTACCGTTGTTTTATCACAATGCGAGAAACGTACATACATTTATTTAAATTTTTCATTATTTAATTTCTTTAACACAGGGTGATAATATTTGGTGGCAACAATTTGAAAAGTGATCGACGTATAGTGAATCGACGTAAAATGCCAAAACGAAATTAATAGACTTTCTGGGCAAATTTCCCCTTTGGGCTAAAAAAAAGTAATTAAAAAGTTAAATTAGTGATAAGTAGTTAAATTATTAATAAAATATTAAAGTACATTATTTGAGGCTCAGGCTGAAATTCCTTTTTCGTTCAAAGATTGAGAAGTAACGGGTATGTGAACGGGTAAAGAGGTCTCCATGCATCCTATATGCACGCTGTAGTGTTTGTAAAACTAAGACCCGACGCGAGTTTCCAGGCTAATGGAAGCTAAGAAATATTAATTGCATTTTGCACAGAATAAAAGGCACATCTCATTTACGCAATTTTGTGTGCGCTTAATCAGAATCTAAAAACGTCTGTTTTGTTACTTTCAGTACAGAATGTACGTAATTGTTTTGCAAAGCATACATTTGAAATTTAATGCTTGTAATTAAAGGAAAGTACTTAAGTACTTGAAAATGTTTAATGAGTTATGATTACATATCTTTCTAGAAGGAGAGAATGCAATTAGTTTTCTGCTTTAGACAGTTCTGTTAGCTTCGTTTATCACTAAATTAGTCATAAGCGATGGCAGAATCCTCTGATATATATTTGTGATGGACTATGATAAAGAAATTCGTTCAGTGGCAACGTTTAGACAAATAACCATAAGCAGTAAAAATTTTGAGTAAATATTTTGAATTTAAATGTTTTCTTGGAGCTATTATTTTGTTTTAGCATGACTAGATTCTAAAAGATTATTAATCATGTTAGTACAAAAGAGATAGGAAAACGAAATTACGTTTATCAATAATTTCACATTTTGATTTTCTTTGTCAAACTTTAATTTTGAAAATTGTTGATTGCAAATTTTACTTTACTTTAATTAATTTAATCAAAGTAAAATTTGCAATCAACAATTAATTTACTTTAATTAATTGAATTAAAGTAAAATAAAAAAATAAAAAAATTTACTTTGTAAAATTGTAAAATTAAAAAATTATGCGCTTGCCTTACTTATTTGAAATATCGCTTAAAATTTAAGGCAAAGTAAAATTTTTTAATTTTAATTGGGAAATCAGAGTGATATTGTTTTGTACTGATTATGCGCTTGCCTTACTTATTTGAAATATCACTTAAAATTTAAGGCAAAGTAAAATTTCCCAATTAATAAGAATAAATTAAAACAGAGAAAATTTAAATTACAACAGCATCAGCTTATCAAGAATAATTGTTTATATTCAGATAACTGTGACTATTGTTGTGGTAGGGTTTCTCAAGAAATTGCGAAAACTCTTTTTTGCATGAGTAACAACACAACACTTTTGCATTCAGAACGAACATATCGCAGAATTTATCACAGTAGTTTTTGTCTCAAGATTTCTGTTATCTGAACATCCTTTTTCGAAGCACATCAGTTGCTGCCATCTATGGTCCACAATCACAACAGCAGCGATCAGTTGCTGCCATCTATGGTCCACAATCACAACTAAAATCTACCACGTTCCGGATTTCGAAGTAGCTCCCAAAACAACTTCTAATTTGTAGCTTCTATGAGCTTTACTGCTTTAACATTTGCTTCGAAGAATTTTGCACTATAAGCCGCGGATATTTTAATTATTAGCTACTATTATTTTCCCTTCATTACCAGCTCAACACCGATTCAACAACTGCTTTCACTGGTTTGGCCTGGAATATATATATAATATATATATATATATAAAGGAAAATTAACAAAACAAATTTATTCAATAATAATAATTTTTTTTCTTTGCGTGTCATTTCAAGACATACAAAGCTGACTGAGCACAAATATAGATATTTTCTTATTTTAATGCGTAAAATCGAATTTCCTCGATTGTATGACAATGCCCATATTAACTGTAGTTTGCAATAGTCTTTGAAAATCATTAAATAGAGGTTTGACTGTAATAAGTTTGCTAACCTCTGAGACAAAATTTTAATAAAAAAAAAACTATTTCTTTATGCATAATTTATGTTTATTTTTAGAGCTAAGTATACATTTCGGTATTAGATAATAACAATAATAATGTTTAATATTTAAATAAACTGAATGAGATTAATTCGAGAATGAGTTAAGCATGCAATAAAAATTTTATTTGGTTAGTTTCGTGAACAGATTTATCTCAATTATTATTGGTTATTATCTCAATTATTATTGGTTATTATCTCAATTATTATTGGTTATCTCAATTATTATTGGTTACGTTTGGGAGAAAAAATATGTCCTTAAGTACAGAAAGTTAAAAAAAGGCTAGAAATTATTTATAATTATAAAGAATGATAAAATATTCTTCTAAATTTCAACGTATAAAAATGTGACGAAATTTGATAGAAACAGTATGTTCGTAAACTAAGCTAGCTCTAAGAGCTCTTTGTAAGTGGTTATTTCTTTTCATCACTCTCTCTATTTCGCTTAAATTTGAGAAATAAATACACCAAATAATGAAATTTTCGTTATCTTGTTGCTTATTTTAATATTTATAAAGATTATTTCTCAATATATGCTCAAAATTTCGAAAGGGTAACCTAAACCTACAGGTTTGAAGAAAATTCCTCTCGGTGATAATTACATCTGAACAAATATTTAAAGATTATTGCTACTTCTGCTTTCAAAAGACGGGTTTGGCTTATTTAATTATGGCAAAGCACATAAGTAGAAGGATGTCTTCTTGGAGGACTTTCTAAGTAAAACTATCTCGTATCCTCGTTACACATGAGAAAACCACGAAAATGCCCATGCAGCCAGCCCGTTCGCTGGATTCGAACTCATTTCCATTGAGAGGCACATCTTCAAACGCATAACGAAACATTATTAAATTTATCGTAAATCTTTATTTTTCTAATAAGAGTAATTCCTTTTATTTATTTTACATAAAATAATATTTTCATTTTATTTTCACCAGCTGCCATTTCTGTGTGAGTTTTCTTCATTTCGCGTCCGAAGGATGTATTAAACATTTAGAAATGAATGTAAACTTAATATTAAAATTTAAGCATATTGCCGAAAACACTTACAGGTTAGCTTTCCTTTTCCTTCTGGTTTAACTATTTTTGGTTTAACTATTTTTAGTTTTAGTCTAACGATCCAATTCAATTCAGTCCAAGACTATTTGAAGCCAGTGTTACTACAATTGAATTTCAAACATTACACCGGTCATTGTTAAGTTCATTGTAAGCCTTATTAAAAAATGTAAGAATGCAATTATTTCAGCAAAATTGATGGGTTTTTTGAAGCCGTGGTCTGTTTATTTATTATTTTAATCTCATGATTAAAAAATAGAAGCAACAATTTTACTGTTACTCTTATTATTAATGTGAATTTTTCTTAATGTTTTTATTAATGTCAAATTATTATATTTTTCAATAACAACTAAATATTGATTACAATCCAGATGATGAAGAAAGTCTGTTCCTAATCAGAAAATTTCGGAATAAATGGAATTCAAGGAAAAATATTTACTGTAAATTATCTTTACACTTTCATTTTAAGAAGTCATTGTAACTTTTTTTACGGAGCTGTGATTATGCAATAAGAGCATTTAGAATCGCATACAGGAGATATTACATTAAGTAATTAATTTGATATGTTTCTTTTCCACCGATGTATGCTCTTCTGAAGAAAAACAACGAAGCTACGGAAATTTCCAGGCACTATTAAAATCAGTCATAATTTGACCCATTCAGAAATTATGAATAAAGCGAAAGGGTTTAATCAACACAAGGGAAAGTAGTCATTTGTAAATGAGACACTGGGTTCCTTCCTTTGCAGTTGCATTTCCGGTAAGAATAACATTGCTACTTCCTGTTCGATTACATTTCCCCGCATCCGTCTTGATAGATAGAAGTTTCCAAGTTTGCATTTGCTACTAGTAATCCTACAGTAGGGGGGGGAAGGGGGAGCTGAAGCCGATAAGAAGCCAATGAAATGAATCATCTTCGGAACGCATTAAGCATTTACAACAGTATCTCGGGGAAAATTTATTATTCACTATCTGGAATAAATGAGAGCTACATAAAGCAACGGTAACCTTAATTAATTTAAATAAATATATTTAAATTAATTAATATTTAATGCGTTTACTTACTGATAAAGACATTAAACGAAGTCTATTTCTAAAGTGTTTACAGCAAAACCAAACGCGCTGTGAACATCAAATTATTCTGCATCTGTAGAATGTAATAGTGAAAACGCTCCACTGCGAAATTGCATTATACAAAATTCTAAAAATGATTTTGATTATCAGAATCGAATTAGATGCTTAATTAATTACAAAATGATCATGAATTAGAATTGCTAGGAAAGAAATGTATTTATAATGATGTGTTATAAAGTCCTCTGAAATCACATTCATGTTAAAAACGTATTCAAATTTGCAGCAGACGTCAGTACTGACATTTAAATTTACAGCTTCTTATAGTGCAGCTGATTTTAATTGATTTCTGATTATTAAACCTAGTGATTCGGATTAGGAAAATACGGAAACTCTTGCAGAGCTCGAACTTGATCCAAGATAATTTTCAGCTTTGCAAATATAAGTTCCTTCGTCTTCCTCTGCGAGACTAAAAAACAGAAGCCAACTTGTAGTTTCTTCTGCCCCCGGCCCACTGCGAGACTGGATAGCAACACGAGTATTGTTTCCTGAAATTGAAAAAAAAAAAAAAAAAAAAGTGTAAATCATCACTTAATAACTTCGTTCAATAATATATGTTGAATATTAAAGTATTCTTGTTTACTGTATTGTGTTACAAGTTTAAGAAATGAGGATTTCCATATGTTTATTAGAAAGCCCTCCACGAAGGCATCCCTGTCCGTAGGCAGATAACTTTCGTGCGCTTTTGCCATATTCATTTAACCTACCCTTGCATAGATTTTCCGTTCTGTTCCGTTCAGTTGCTACGAAGTACCTTGACTGTAAAATTATTTTATTTGCACTGGGATATTTGAAACTAATCCAACTAATGAAAACTACAAATTTCCTAAAAATTATTGTTTTGAAAAACGTAAAATTTTTGCTTACTTAAAAGTAGCGTCGTGGTTCAACATAAAATGCTCACTGATTTACACCAATGCTCTTGATGTGTTTCGAATTTTATTTTCCCTCGCGCCAAACTTACCAATAAATAAATAAATAAATAAAATTAAAATAGAAGTTAAAAAAAAAGATTTATTTATTTAGACTACATTTCATTGCTTTCTTTTTCTCTTTTTTTTTTTCTTTTCTTTTACTTTCTTTTCATTCATTCTTTCTTTTTTTTTTTTTTAAAGACCATGATGAGAGAAGAAAAAGATAACGCTTCAATAAACATATGTTGAAATTTCCTCAATAGATGGCGCGACTGGAATTCTGCCGTTTCGAAACATGTTCAGGTTTTCGATGAAAGGATAAAATAAATGAATAAATAAAATATTGAATATAAAAGCTCTGCCTCTAAAATAGGTCTCGATATATATACCACTTGCATTCGACCGATACATTGTTATGCTGCTCCTGCTTGGAACACGGTCACTCAAACTCAACTACATCAATTACAAGTAGCGCAAAACAAATTTCTGCGCATTATTACTGATTCACACTATCTTATCCGCAATAAACTTTTACACAGAGACTTAGAACTTGAGACGATTCCAGATTACATCAGAAGATCTAATGAAAAATTCTTCAACAAAGCTGTTCAATGTGACTTTGTTAATTACTCCCAAGTCTTTATTTATGAAATTCTCTTCGAAGATAGAAGTGTCAGACCACTTGTAGCTCATACCTTCATGGGAGGAGATGACAACTTTTTCACTTAGATCCTCAATTGTTAGCTATTTATACTTCCAATGCATCTGATTTTGATTGAAGTTCTTCTGTAGCTTCGTTGAATAGTTGTATTTAAATTGTGTTGTATAGTTGTTTTGTATTGTGTTGTATTTAGCACTACTGATTGATGTTGTTTAATTGTATTAGAATTTGTCATTGGAACTATTGCCGTAGTGTATCTTCTCGTATTGTAGTCATTGATTTCCATTGCCTTGGGTCCTCCTTGAAAGCTATGATCGCTCGTCACGTTTTGCGAACTTGTCCGATTGGATTGTCTTGCTCCTTTTGGTACTTCTCTTCTTCCCCTTATCTCCGTTTTCTCATCTGAGATTTTCTCCACGTCCGGATTTATTTATGTCAAGTGCCCTTGGGCTTTAATTCTGGAACCGGCAACATTGCTCTTCGCAATAGCTCGGTCAATTATAGAGTCTAAGTCTAGGTCTCGCTAACAACAGCATTACCATTGATGGGGTTAACTATTCGGAGCCATTTATGTCAACTGATCATAATAAAAAGCCCCTTCAAAAATTTGTTAACTATATTTTCTGCAATCTGGCCATGGTTACTGGATTCAGGAATCAAATGTTTCTATAAAACCGTGGGACTCGTGTTACTACGGGAATTTAATAAAAGTGGATACCGCTTAATTCGATCACGTCTGTTTAAAGATGATCCTATAATATCGTGGGATTCGCGTTGTTACGGGGTCTTTAAGAGTTCAAATCCGCGATTTTGATTGGGGGGGGCAGAGGTCATAAAAATTTTATATTCGCGATGTGTTCTGGTTTTGCTGAAATGAGCGAAGGTGTTTTCTTAATCTACTATCATAAAGACTCTGTTATCATAAATTCATATATCAGGTGCTTAAGTAAATTGAAAAGAATAGCGCCAGAGTGTTTTTGAAGCTATTTTACCGTTGTTGTTTTTCCTCAAAGGGAGCACTCAAAAAACAAGGCGAGCAGTCTCGAGAGGCTAGTGTTTGGGGAAGAGGAGTGGGAGACCCTTGGATCGCCCCTGGGGTGCTCTCCTTGAAAATTCGGGCGGAAATGCATAGTCAGTGCGGCGGGAGTGTACCTAGTGAGGCGGGACTATACTAGTTAGTACGACCGATGACGAAACTCTTATGTACCGCTCACTTCTGTTGTTGTTACTTATCCGAGTTGTCTGACAGTAACATCAGAACAAGCCCACGAAATTCATCGTGTTAAAGAGTGCAAGATTACGCCTGTCGTTTGCAAGAGCCATATTGAGCACCATATATGTGGCAGTACGACTTTGCTCAATTCCGCCCTCCGATTTTTGATAGAGACCGGGGGAACGGGTCCGAGAGTCTCCCACACCTCTTCCCTACCATAAGACCCTAAGAAGAGGTTGGTGGTAAGGGTCTTGTAGTCCTCTACCACCAACCTCTCGAGAAGACTTTCGGCTCGCCGCATATTTAGAGTGCCCCATGCCGCACAAACACTATACATTTACAAGCATCCATGCCTTCTCCGGAATTCAAAGCCGGATCCTTCGGTATGGCATTCAGCGTCGTTAACTACTATGAGCTGCTGTTGTCACTGCAACTATTCTGAAAAGCTCGCGTATCTTGAAAAGCATCTCTTTTTTTTTCACATCTATTAAATATTTCGATAATCGACGATTTAGTTTCTAGAAATTCACTCATTTGACTTTTTCATGGTTATCCCCATCAAATTTGACCAATATATCGAAATCGTTGATGTTTCCTAAGCCAGGCACCAGACAGGAAAAGAAAGATAGAATACCTTTATAAACTAAAAACCTCATTCTAAATTTCTGTAATCATGACATCCAAAAATCGAAGAAAGATCACGCATTGCTCTTACTTTCACAAATTGCATGTAAAAATTTGATTTATATTCTAGTAGTGTTTTACAACATAATTAGTAGCGATGTGCCTTCCGGCTTTTAGGCCTAACACCTTCGTTCTTCCATTGCTAATGTTAAGTAATCGAATCACCCCAGAGACAAGATGCTCGGAGCGTCACCCAACGGCGGGCGCTAGCAATTCATAATAAACTCATAATAGAATAATGCCTCTTCACGCATCTTGTGGGGCATACTTTCCTCAAATGCAATATTTTTTCATTCGGGACAAAATTCATTGATCTTCTAAAACTTATTGTATCTTTGAAGATAAAAAGGGAATAAATATGGTTTTTCAACTATCCCAAAACAATTTCTGATGTCTTCGCAAGAACTCGAGACTGCAATATTTAAGCAGGGTGACATACACACGGAAATTGCTTTTAATTGATGGTCGGAAGTACGTGCTTGCATCCCTTTAAACTCTTCGCTCATAAACATGAGCGCCACCATAATCGTGTCCTTTAGAATATTTGACGTCCAAACCGAGATTTAAAAAAATTTTCAAGATTGCCTGTGAAATACTTTGTGCAGGTTTAGAAGTTTTGAGGAATGACAAATCTTCATCTGCTCTTGGTCGAAATACGTAAGACAGATATTTGCTCGATAGTAGGAACACCATTTGTTTCATCAATCAAGACTGAGAAATAATTCGAATTTTTTACTTGTTTTTTAACTTTTGTTTATATCAGAGTATCTCAGCTTTAAAGCATTTTTTTAGATCACGAAACTTGTATATAGTGCATTTTTCTTCGAAGCTCTCAGATGCAGTTTTTAGATGATATTCCAGAGCCTTGACTTCAGACTGAACCGCAGATCATAAGGTAGTCCTGAAATTTCCTTTATTTTTAGAGCGTAAGCTATCTAAATCACTTGGCCCCTGATCACTGTACTCGCGTGATGCCAAACCTTATTTTCTACATACTATTATGGTTTTTATTACGCTTTTCAGGTCGCTCTCGATTCTCTTTAGCCTCTTTGATTTTATTTTGATCCAGTGACATATTTAGAGACTTTTGTTTGTTGCCTTAAGTTGGTGTAATGCAAAAACGAATTTTTGGGATACTTCAAATTTTTGGGATACTCATTGAAATATAAATCACGTTTCCATTTCTTAAATCCTTTTTGCTCCATATAGCCCACAGACTGTGAAGAAGTGCGTCCAACATTAATGCACAGCAAGCTACAAACAGTATTTACAGTCTTCTGCGTCTTCCGCTTTAGGTTATATGCTAGATATGCCATTACACATCACTAAAGGCAAAGCTATCTACCACCAATAAAGAAATGCTATGTTCGACACCACCACAATTCTCGATTACATCGACCTCCACCATATTAGGGTTTTTTTGTTGTTGTTGTTGCTAGGAATCAGCGGAGAAGCTTGCTCTCTTTTTCCTAATTTTTTGGGGTGTGGGGGTTGGGATCTGAAATAATAAAGAATTTTGACGAAAAAGACCACAAATTGAAACAAAATACTGATTAAAAAAAGCACAAATGGCACTGATAATTTAATAAAAATGCTATGAAATAACTAGTTAAAATGTTTTTTACAGCGTTAACGTTACAAGTACGAGTGGAATGATCACAGGAGCGAAATTTTCGAGCTGTTAATCCAGAAAACAATGTTGTCACCTCTCTTTTTTTTTTTAAAAAAAAAGGAAATCAAAAACAAACATGGGGAGTGATTTAAAAAAAAATCAAGGATTTCTGATTTAATTCTGAGGAAGGGAATGCAGCTCCATAGCAACCCCTCGGCCTTTATTGAAGCGGATTATAGTAGAAGCTGCTTAACGTGATCACGGTTGTTTACTTTGATAACATAGCTAATGCGATAACAGTAACTGAACGATAACGTTAAACATTGAAAAAAATTATCCTGAAAAGTGTGAATGGATTTTAATCAATTTAATAGAAATGTATTGAAAACACAAGCTACTTATTT